CCAAGCCCTGTGGCTCCTTGGAGTTGCTGTCGCCAACTGGGACCTCATTCTAGACCAGCCTTCCTTCTTCTCGCTGTTCCTTTCTACCCCAGATCCAACATACTCTCTCTCAGGCTTTCTTTCAGGGTGTTCCGCTGGCATGATTGTTACCTCTCTCTCAGCACACTTTGATTTATTTTTAACTTTTTATTATGGACATTTCACACATATACAAAAGCAGGAAGAAGCTATGATGAACTGCCACGTAACCATCATCCTGTGTCAACAACAAACTTTTAGCTGTTTTTTTTCCCCGTAGTATATTAAAGCAAACCTAGATAACATGTTACTTCCCCTATGAACAATTCACTACTCATCTCTGATAAGGACTTTTTCTTTCTTTCTTTTTTCTTTTTATGTAACTACCACACCACTATCACACCTAAGAAGATCAGCTGCAATCCTTTAATTTCTTCTAATACTCACGCCACCTTAAAGATGTTCCAAATGTTTCAGAGGGGAGGGTATAGCTCAAGTGATAGAGCGCATGCTTAGCATGAACAAGGTCCTGGGTTCAATCCCCAGGACCTCCTCTAAAAATAAATAAATTAATGAACCTAATTACCCCCCACCAAAACAAAAACATTAAAAAAAAAAGGAAAACAAACAAACAAACAAAAATGTTCCAAATGTTTCAAAGATGTGTTATATATAGACGATGCGTTGGAATTTGGATCCAAACGAAGTCCTCACATTGCATTTTGCTGTTAGGTCCACTGTGTCTAATTCGTTGAATGATAGCTAACATCACTTTTTTTTTTTTTTTGCTCAATCCCATTGATTTGTTGGAGAAATAAGGCCATTTGTCCTGTAACTGTCTCACAGTTCAGCTTTGCTCCCTTGTGGTGTCATTTCTCTTGTTCTTCTATTTCTGGTATTTCTTGTAAACAGCATCCACGCTGCCAGTAGAACATTCCTCAGGGGTGGAAATGTCTGTATCAGTGATGGCCTGTCCTGTAGCCACATGTAGCTATCAATCAATTGAAATATGGTTAGTGTGACTGAGGAGCTGAATTTTAAACAGCATCACAGGTAGCTAGTGGCTACCGTATTGGCTAGCTCTGGTCTAGAAGCTTGACTAGCTTCAAGTTCAACATTGTGCTGCACACTGGCCCATCCCATCTGCTTGGCTATATTTAGAGATTCTAAGACTGATCATGGGCTCTGGGGTATCAGTCTGAACCACCCATTTCTAGGCTCCCCAACTGCCTTCCACCTGGAATTTAATCTGCATCTCTGATAACACCCTGATAATACTACCTTATGGGGAAGGATTTTTTTTTTTTACAGAAAACTCTCTCCAGTGTCCCCCATCCCCCAAATCGCATTGGGCTGAGGGGGTGTTTTCCGCCCTTGGCTGAAGCAGTCACCCTTCAGGGTCTCTGCCCTCCCTGAACTCTGTGCACCCAGGCCTGACGATCTGTGTTTGTCTTTGTGCAGAAGGAAACTTCATATTTTACCAGAATTCGGCCTGCTCTGCACACAACTGCAGTGGGATGGAGGCTTACAGTTTCAGTGTCCACACGGCTAACGAAAACTTTGTATTTGTAAGCCAGTGCTGCCAAGGAGGCCCGTGCGGTAACGTCACTGTCACTGCAGGTGGGTGCTGGCCGTGCGCGCCCCTTTCTCTGTCCTCCCAGCTCCGTCCCTTCCTTCACCACCTGTGTTCTCACAGGATATCTTAAGTCAAGGTGCGTCAGTGCATATTTGAGCAGCATTAGCAGCTGACATACAAGAATTCCTTAAGACACAAGTGAGGAAAACCAGCATTACTACCGTGCTTTCCCCTTTCTCAGTAAAGACAGAAATCACAGCGCTCCAAGGTGTGTGCAAAGGATTAGATGCTCATTTGTAATCTCAACCCCTTGTGGTCTCAGGCCCTCTTCTAAGACTCTTAAGTCTTAAAAATTTTTGAGGATCCCAAATAACTTGTGTTTAGTGGATTATATCTATCAATATTTACTCTATTAAAAATCAAGGCTAAGAAATTTAGAAATCTCTATTAGTTCACTAAAAATAATAAAACCCATTACATGTTAACATTAATAACATTTTTTTTACACAGAAATAACTATTTTCCAAAACAAAAAAATAATTTAATGAGGAGAGTGGCATTGCTATATGTTTCCTCAAAGCTCTTTCATTTCTGGTTTAATGGAGTAGAGCTGGATTCTCAGATTTGCTTGTTCATTTAGTTCGTTGCAATCTCACATGTCATTTGGCTCCTGGAAAACTTCATTGTATTTTCATGAGAGAAAGAAAGTAAAAGGGGCAAAGAGTATCTTAATATTACCATGAAAATGATTTTGACCTAGTAGACTCCCTGCAAGGGTTCCCCACGGGTTCCTGGACCCCAGTTTGAGAACTGCTGGTCAAGACCGAAGCCTTCTTTGTGAAGAAGAGAAAATGTGGCCATAGTCACAGAGTTCATTATTAGCAGAGCTGGGTCTCTGTATAATTCCCGCCCACCCCCCTCCCCAGTCACAGTCTTAAATAATGGCCTGTGTCCTTCTGTTCAGAGCAAGATTGAATGACAGTTGTACACCTGTTGGCAAGTGTTCAGAATAGCTGACTAATTCTGACATTGGCTACAGGTTGTTTTTAGCTCAAAATCTCACCTTTCCTGTCCCCATCCCACCACACTCACTGACCACAGTTCTTGAAGACTGACTGGTGTGTAAAGGTAGGTGTATGAGGTTGTGTCTTGTAAATATTTTGATGGGATGTGGGGGTGAGGTGACTGGTGTTTTTAAGGCAGGATCTGAGATTCCTGAGCACGCAATTGCTCCGTTCCTCGGGTCTCTGACTAGTGTGTCTGCCTATTCCCTTCCAGCCCTTCCCCTCTGGGCGGTACCAGGATCTCTGTCATAACACACTTCTGAGTTAATGACTCTTCTTCCACCCAGCTCCTCCACTGGTAAACGCGTCCAGCAACATAGAGTGCCCTGCATGTTTTGAATTTAATAGAGCTTCCTGTGATGGGAAACCCCTGAGATGTAATAACAGAGAAATGTGTGTCAATCTAGTCGCTGGATGGAATGGTATGTTTCAGCGTTCCAATTCCTTTTCATGGGACTTGAGTCATAAATTCTGGGTTAACATAGAAGGACTGGGGAAGGTTAGTAGGATGAAGGGATAAAGTCAGATTCCTTTGAGATAGTGAGGCTGTTAATGTAGCCTTGAGCTGATAGCTGTTTCTGTCTCTTCAGCCTAGAGCCATCCCTCCTGGGCTGTCCCTCTCTTGAACGCTGTTCACTGTGGCTTCTAAGCAAGCCAGTCTCGTTTTAGGCATCAGGTCACTCTTGGCATTTACTTATTTACGGGTTGAGCCATTTTGTAGATGTGGGTGCATCTAACTTGGTTCCTTTTATATGTACACTTTCATTCTCGACCTGTCACTGAGAGGTGTTGGTTTAGGACAGCTTGGGTCACCTGGAAGGAAGAGTCACACTGAGCTTTGATATCCAACCAGTTGATCTTTTCTATGAAAGTAATTTGATATTAACCAATATGAGACACAAAGTAACCATCGTACAATACAAAACTAATACATGTAATTCTTTAAATATTCAGACAAGTGTTATTCATGCCTGAATACTTAAAGAATAATACATTTATTAATCAGAGTAAATTAATTACTGTGAAAGGGCAATCTTCAAACCCTATGGCTCAATACAGCAGACGTTTATTTTGCTGTTCGTGCAACAGTTCATTGCAGAGTCCAGGACCTTCCTTCCATCCTGAGGCTTTGGCCCCTTCCCACCCACGACTTGGCAGCTCTCTGCTGTATTCTTAGCATCTCGCTAGCAGATGGGGGAAGAAAGGGCATGGAGGAAGGCAGGAAGGCTTTTCCAGGCAGGGCTTACAAGTGAATGCATCGTTCCCACGTTCCACTGGCTGAACCCCAGACTATAGAGGAACTGAAGGTGGACATGTAACCCAGTGGTAGCCCAGCAGGAAAGGAAGAGGCGTGAAGCTAAAACGAACAGCCAGCTAGTCTTTGCCACAAACGTGGCTCCGAAGGACAAGGGTTTAAGAGCACCAACACCCAGGGACAATTTGATTCCAACTTTAAAATGGCAATTACAGTATCGGAAACCAATGCTTAATTGTAGTTGGAGATTTCTTAGTGGGGCCAAACATCATACTTACCCTGAACTTCCCTTGACTTTTTTTTTTTTAAATAGACTTTATTTTTTAGAGCAGTTTTAGATTCACAGGAAAATGTAGAGAAAGGTAGAGAGATTTCCCCTTCACCCCTTGCCCCTACACATACACAGCCTCTCCGACTATCACCATGCCCCACCAAAAAGGTACATTTGTTATCATCCATGAGTCTGTGTTGGCACGTTGTTATCATCCAGAGTCCGTTAGGGCTCACTGTTTGTGATGTACAACCTATGGGTGTTGGCAAATATAGAATGATACGAATCTACTGTTATGGTATCAGAGAGAGTAGTTTTACTGCCCTAAAATCTTCTGTGCTCTGTCAAATCATCCCTAACCACTGGCAACCTCTGCTTTTTTTTTTTCTTTCAAAACCCTGTCCAGAGTTTTGCCTTTATCAGAATGTCACATAACTAGAGTCATATAGTATGTAGCCTCTTCAGATGGACTCATTTCTCTTAGGATATGCATTTAAGGGTCTTTTTACTCTAAAAATCTCTGGGCTGTCTATGCAGCTCTGGTGTTTCATCCTAAAGCTGTGTCTGAGGGCAACCACGGAATCAGAAGGACTTGCTCTTCCTGTTCACCGCGTTCGCAGGTGTCTGCGAAGTCCCAGGCTGTGGCTTGGTCTGGAAGCTGGACCGATCAAAGCTACCGGAAATGTAGGATTTTGTTTTTGTTTTTGACTTAAAAAAAATACTGTAGACATGTGCCAAGCAACACACCTTCCTAACCCACTCTAATTCAGCCTCCAGCACTGATATTTACTCTAAAGCAACAGTGGATTGCTTTTGTTTTTACTGGGATTTGGAAGTTTCTCCTTCTCAGAGCAAGTATGGAGTCAGCCTTGAACTCAAATTACAGCCCCGCCTCTGGCACATAGCCGGTCAGCTCCTCAGGCCCCTTCCTCCAGGGCTGTTTGATTTGTGGCCTTCAGTAGATACACAGTAGGGACTCAATAAAAGGTAGCTGCAATCACAACTGTATCTTCTTTGCAAATTCCCTTGGTCTTTTCGTAGGACCTGCACCTTAAAACGGGGTTAAACGGAACATAACATGTTTTTAGAGTAAAAACACAGTGGTCTCTCTGTATCCCCTCTGGCTGTTATGCCCTCTTCTCAGAGAAAACTCAGGCAGGGAGAACTCAGATACAGGGAGGAGTAAGGATGGAAAACAGAGCCTAGAGGAAGGGAGCCCAGGAGAAGTCTAAATGGCTGACTCCCTCCTGGACTGAGAGCAGAAGACTATGGGTGGTCTGAGCCTGTCCCTAGATTTCACCACCTGCCAACTGCTCAGGAAAACACTGGAGATTTGAGTTCCAGGTCCAGCTCTGGCTCTCACCTGTGACCTCAGGCTCACACCCACCTCCGGAGCCCCCGTTTCCTGTGGGACTAGGGAGGGGAGGGGATCTCCATGGCATTACCATTTGGTGTTCATAGTCCTGGGCCCCTTCTCCAGGCTTCTGTGTCAGGAGCAGACCCATTTCAGCTCTTGCAGGTAACTGAGAAGACCGGGGAGTTGGGGGGCGGTGGACAAAGGGGTTGTGATGTCCTTACTGTCTCTTTTGCATTCACAGAGACGAGCAAATTAGTGCTGAAAGGCTGTTCCAACATCAACGACGCCACCTGTCACATCCTGTCTACTAAAAAGCCAAAGCTTGGAGAACTCACTTTGCAGAAGTTAGTGTGTGCGGACAAATCCACCACTGCCTCAACGACCAAAAACCCAAAGACCATTGCCCCTCACCGTCCCACCAGTGGCACCGGCTCTAAAGTCTTCTTCACCCCCGTGGCCCTTGCCAGCCTTCTCCTGCTGGGGCTGCTGCTCTGAGATCGGCGCCTCTCCAACCGTCCCCTCCCCTGTTTGACTGCTCAGTGAACAGCAGTCACAGCCTTCCAGGTCATGCCCTGTGGTAGCCACATCATTCTTTATTATTAAAACATTGGTTCACTCGCTGCCCAAATCTGTCACGATACGTTCTGGGCTAGGCTTCCTTCAAGCTGCTATCCAGCACCACTTCTCAGTTCCTTGCCTTTGCAATCCTTGCAGCTTTGCGTGTGGGCTCCCAGGACCTCCTTGATCCCTGCCCAGTTTGCTTTTGAGAAGCATACTCTTCCTTCCACCTTGCTGGCATCTTTTACCTACCTCCTTGCACTTCTGGGGACTGACGTGCCACTGTCCCCATCCTCACACTCAGGAGGTGCCCCAGCTGCGCCTCGTGATGCTGTGTGTTGACCCTCAGCATCGCTGTTTGACTCTTTAGCGGTCGTACTGGCTCTGGTCCACTGTGGCCCACAGTGACGTTGCTAGGGCCGTCACCACGGGACCCAAAGGAGGGTGCAGAGGGCTTGCTGAAGGCTGGCAGACTCTTCTGCTTAACCTCTCAGGCAGGGACACGATGCGGTCAGCACCTCGAAGACCAGGTGTCTCGTAGCCTTGTAGGAAATGGAACACGGCTGGAGAGCCCCAGCCCCTCCTCTCAGAGAACTTACAATCCAATGCAGATTCCTCGACTCCAGACCAGCTAACCAGGGAACGAGAAAACCATTCAATTCCATACGGCCAGAAGCCCAGGCTTAGTAAATAAAGGGGGGCCTTGAGCTGGACTCGGAAGAATGGGGTTTTCTGTAATAAAAACTTTTAAAGGTATAAACCGCTTTGAGTCTTTATTGCCTGGGCTCACTGACAATGATTAAGAGCAGAACCGCCAGAAAGGCCATCTTGCAGAAACTCATCACCGCATTCGTTCTTATTTAAGGTTTTTAATTTTGAAATAATTCTAGACTTATCAAAAAGTTTCATAAGCGGTTCAGAGACTGCCAGTATCCCCACACCCATCTTCCTCTTTTGTTCACATTTTACATAACGACACTGCAATTACTGAAGCCAGGAAAGTAGTATTGAAACAATACTGTTGACTAATAGGTCTCATTCAGGTTTTCGCTAATGTCCTTTTTTTTCCTGGTCCAGGATCCAATCCTCTGCATTTGGTTGTTACGTCTCCTCAATCTTCCACAATCTGTGACAGTTCTGGAGTCTTTATTTTATTGGCTACTTGTTTTTGAGACATTTGAGCTTATCTGAAATTTTCTCACGATAAGATTTGAGGTTATGCATTTTCGGCAAGAATCCCACAGAAAGGAGGTGCCCTCCTCAGTGCATCTTATTGGGAGTTACGCGATCTTGGTACGTCTCATCAACTGGTGATGTTAACCTTGATCGCTTGGTTAAGGTGGATTTTCGGCCAGTTTTCTCCACTAGAAAGTCACTGCTTTTTCCTTTGCAATTAGTGATAGGCTAAGTTCTGCTGCTGTAACAGATAGACCTTAGCAAAAACAAAAAAAAACACACACACACAAAAAACTTAGGGGTTTAATACAAAGAAAGTTGATTTCTCAGTTACTTGAACCCAGGTAGATGTTTCTGACTGGGTAGCTGTCCTGGGCAGCTCCCCTCTGAGAGTGAGAAGGGGCCAGGCTCCTTCTATCCCATGGTTCTCCTGTCCCCTGGGTTCTTGGGCTCTTAGTTAATTGTCCTGCATCCAGCTGGCTGACAAGGAGAGAGAGCCCGGAGGCCATGCAGCACGCTCTAAGGGGCGAGCCTCAGTGACATGGCCTAGGAGGAGGTGTTTATCCATATGCACCTTGCAGGATCTGCCTCACAGGCAGTATGGCTCAGTGGTCAGGGGCATGGCCTCTAGATCCAGAATCATGGCTTTAATTTCTAGCCCTGGAACCTTGGGCAATAGATGTCATCTCTCCGTGCCTCGGTTTCCCTCCTGTACTACAGGGATAGTGATAATGCCTGCTGCATGGGGTTGTTAAGAGCTGCCAACATAGTTCTCCTTGGCAAAGAGTAAATACTAGCCATTAGCAGATGACTCCAGTTTGAAAGCACCCCCTCAACCCATGCTCTAGGGAGAGGGGGTGCCCACCAGAAAGAGGGATGTGGAAGGCACAGCCCTGGCCCACTTCCCTCAGACCATGCCAATCTCACTGAAATTATAGCTGTTTCTGTGTCCCAGGATCCCCTCTCCCTTTTCATCCCCTCCCCAGAATCTCCATGACCGCTGCCACCATGACCACACAGGCCACAGCAAAGCTTGTTAACATCTATCTTCACATGGCTGCTGACTCCAGGTCACCAGATCTGACCTGCTCTTGGGACCTCCTGGAAGTCACCCTGCTCAGGGCTGATGTGGGGAAGAAGTGGTCCTTTGGGGGGAACTGCAGACAGGAGTGAAAATCAGGGTGCTGACAATTGGGAAGGCGACTGAAGGTGAGCAGGGCCAGATGCCAGGAGGTTCCACATGTTGGAAGGATGCGGGCTTTAGGCTGAGGGCTGAAGACAGAGGGCCACGGCAGAGATATGTGCACAAGAAGGAACACAGCGGGATTTCCGCTTTCTCTCCCAGACTGAAGGGTGCAGGTAGAAAGACAGTGGGAGAACAGTACAAGGAGGGAGTTTAAACGGAGAAGTAGTGGGGATGGAGGCTCTCCATCATCCTGCTGTAACTGAGAGCAACTCACGCCGTAGAAATAAACTTCTATTTGCACTGCGGGCTCCTGCCTCCTCACCCAGAGCAGGGCAGAGGGCAATGCACCACTCCTGCTCAGTGTCTACGCTCCTTTCCTTGTCTGGCCACACTTTACTCCGGAGTCCTGCCCTCTGACCTGGATCTAGGGCCTCCTACCCCGATAAAGCTCTTGGCTGCCAATTCTTCCTTAGTCTCAGCCTGAGCTCCGGGATAAGGCCTATGTCTGAGGAGCTCCAAAGAATTCTATACTCATGTTGTACAGCTGGACCAATGACAAATCACCGTCTTCCCACCGCACTCTACAGTTTGTAAAGCTGTTTTGCCCAGGTAATTTTATTTTCTTTAGAATCGGCTTTATTCAGGTATGATGTACATATAATAAAACATGTGTGCCGACTAGTGAGTTTTGACAGAGGTGGCCGTGTAACAATTCCTCCAGTCCAGTCAAAGTCCTCTTTGAGTCCACCTCACTCTGGCCCCAGGCTCCCACATGCATCCTCACTGCCCCATCTTGGAAGTTACAGGCAGCTCTTCTGCTCACATTCCACTGAGCTGAGCTGTTTGTTACCTGGCACCACGTGGACACAAAGCTACGGGCAGCTGAGGCCCTGGGGGATATCAGCTCCACCCAGCAACAACTCTGCCCCATGGAAGGGGGAGGTCAAGGGACTGTTTCCACTGGACTCCAAGCCCTGCCAGCCCGCTCCCTTCTCCCCTACTTCCTGGGCCAGGAAGACAGAAGAATATAACACCTGCCCATTGGAAAAAAAAAAAAAAGCGCAACCTAAAAGGGGAGAATTATTTGGAAGACTACTGAGGACTTAAACCTGGGATACAGCTGCGCTGATAGCTCTGAGGGACTGTTCCAAAGACGTAAAGGAGGACCCAGGATATATCAGAGTTCTTGCTGAAATAAAACTATGTAGTTGGACATCAAAAGATTGCTGTTAATCACAAAAAAACAGGCATCTCAAGTTAATGGTTCCAGTGCTTTTCCATGTATGGGAAGATGCAAGAGTCTGGGTTCATTGAAATCATTCCTTTGATCTGCACCTTAACTGTCCAGGGCAGTATTCTGTTTTCCTCTTGTCCAAACCACCAGAGGGGATGGGCAGAATGGCGGGGGTGGGCTGGTGGAGTTATGGCCACAACATCCTTTGTTTACTCAAATGTCAGGTGACATTCTTTGTCCGCACACCTCTCGGTTGAATTATGATCTGAACTAAACCTTCAAATAATTCTTGATCTGAAATATGAACTAAAAAAGCTAAAATCACTAATCACGTGAGTTTTTCCAATGTCTCTTTTTAATAGGGTGAGTGAATATGCCCTACGAGGCTGTGAGAGGGATTTTGGTCACGAGATGCTCTGCAGGGGGCCTTAAGTGTCCCAGTGTGACTTTAGATCTGAGCGTGGGAGTGTGGAGGGTTGAGAGAAGGGACAACCTGAGCAGGATGGGCGGTGGACTCAGGACATGGTTGTTCTCATGCTGGGGAGACCAGCTACTTGGGTCAAGTGATCCAGAAGTTCCAGTATTCCCAAACGTGCCCCCACCAGCCAAGTTACCAAGAGAAGTAAGTCTTCAAGTACAGCATCTCAGGAAGAGGGAAGAGTGACCATTGGAGCTCCGGTGCCAGGGTCTCACTGTGGGTCTTTCCCAGAAGATGAGGTGGGAGGCTTCCCTGAACATCAACCTTGAAGCAGGCAGAGGGTCCTTGGACTTCAGAGGTGGATACCACAAGCAGATTAACAGTAGTGGCAGGGTTTGTCCAACACAGAAACCAGGGTCCCCTGCTGCTCAAATATCTCCCTGGGGATCATCATGAAGTCTCGAATTCCAGCCATTCTCTTGGTCCTAAGAGCTATCAATTTCCCATGAGCTAATTGTCATTATCCTCACCTTACACCTTCTGGAGATGCTACCCAGATGGAGGGCCCGGGAAGAAGCAAAACTAGAAGATGAGTGAGAAAACCGGGTAGAGTCTGTGAAGGAGGTAGATAAGACTAAGTCAGGGGGTCGAAGCACATCGACAAACCTTCATTCCCCAGCTGTCGGCCCAGGCCCCACTTCTCTGTGATTGACATCAACCCACCACCAGAAGGGACACCGGTGGTAACAGTGGCGATGATACACAAGTCAGAGCTCCCCCTGAACAGCTGGCTCAGTGCCACACTTAATCTTCAAGGAGGTAGGATACTGCTGTAGCCCTGTTGTCCAGGTGAGCAGACTGAGGCTTGCAGAGGCCGGATGCCTTGCATACAGCCAGCTAGGCAGGTCCTGGGGTGGGTGGGGTGTCCAGTGGAAATGGAAATCGTGGTCCATAGTGAGTGCTTGCTGCTCTGTCACTAACTTGCGCATTGCTGGTTGAGTCCCTCTTTGCTTCCTTGGCCTTGGGATGCCTCTGTTTTCTTCATCTCTGTGTCACTTTAGAATCTTGCAGCCATAGTGAGGACTTGGGCTCGAGCGTCACCTTTTTCAGGCTTCAAGGCAGGTGTGAAGGGGCAACACAGGACTTGGGAGAACTCAGGGTCTCAAGTGAGCGCAGTGGCCTGGGGGCCTGGAGATGGTCACACTTCCTCAACTGAGAAATGGGCTGGGGACCCAGTGCCCCTGCCCTTTTCCGTCCCCTCGGAACTGGACACAGAATAGAACGAAATTTTATCTTTTATTTCTTACATTGAGTAGTTTCTATGGCTTCTCTGTACTAGTCACTTCTTACCTGGATGAATCTCGCTTCCGTTTGTTCGTTTGCTTGTTTATTCATTTTCCTCCTGAGGGTCGGAGGTCTTCTTGGCCAAAGGATTCTCTGTTCCCCACCCCCTTTCCCTAACCCCTTTGAAACCCAAGCACCCCAGGGAGCTCAGAGAAAGTCTGAGTCGAGCTGCAGAGGGTTTGTGCTCTGCTTGAGGCCCCAGGGCACCCTTCCAGAAGAGTCCAGTCTGTACTTTGTAAGGGGGCACAGGCTTTTCCACTGAAGAATCACAGACCTCCATTGCTTCCTTTGGATTTTTTTTTTTTTTAGCTCCAACTGTGTGCTGGAAATTTCTCTGCTGGACTCCCAGACGTCCACAAAGGCACTCTTGTCTGTGGGTGATTGTCAA